ATTTTCTGTCACAGGCTCCATATGCGTATAAAATTTTACAACAAGCTGAGCTCACCTCGTGCAATCCCCTTTCGAACCCGACCTGTACCAAACTTCCAGTAGAATTCAAAACGGAGTCCCTCCCCTCCGATCCAGCGTTCTACCGTAGCATTATTGGAGCTTTACAATACCTAACGTTAACTCGTCCTGACATTTCGTTTAGCGTTAATTTACTTTCTCAAAATATGCATGATCCGTCTCCAAAACACTTATATCTTCTAAAACGTCTCCTAAGATATATACAAGGTACGTTACATTTTGGTCTTCACATTACAAAAACTGACTTAGTTCTAAAATCATTTTCAGATGCCGACTGGGCAGGAGATCCGGTCACAAGAAAGTCCACCACAGGTTTTTGCTCTTTCCTAGGAGCAACTCTGGTGTCTTGGACAGTAAAGAAACAGCGTACCGTGTCAAGATCATCCACGAAATCAGAATTCCGTGCGCTTGCTGCTCTAGCTTCGGATATAATATGGCTAAGAAGGCTTTTAACAGATTTCGGTATCTCCCAGGCATACTCTACGAACCTATATTGTGACAACATGTCGGCCATTGCCTTGGTCAATAACCCGGTGTTTCACTCCAGAACTAAACACATAGAAATCGATCAAAAATTTCTAAGAGATCATATTCAACAAAATAACATTACCTTGCACCCTATCAGTACAATTGATCAAGTAGCAGATATACTTACCAAGCCGTTATCCACTCCAAGATTTCACCAACTTCGTCTCAAATTGACAATCGTTCAAGATCCATCAATTTGACGGGGCATATTAGGACTAAGATAACTGCTTATCATTTCTAGAAGTTTCATAGGTTATTTTGTAATTATGCTTTGAGTATAACCAGCTCTATATAAAGAGCAACAGACTTGTAAAACAAATACAAAAATAATATTTTACTTCTTCTTCCTCTTGCGGTATCTTGAGTTTCTTCAATCGAGTGATTCTAAATCGACGCACTTCTTTCTCACCCATTAGAACATAAAATTATTTGTCAACTCTTTGTCAGTGACGATCAATATTATTTATGATGATGATTTGGTAGGAATGTCATTTGCAAGAACTAAAAAATATGTGATTTGCAAGTTGAAGTTGAAATGATGTCCTTATTTCCTTCTATGTTAATGTTATCATTAATTAGTTCAAGCATAACACATTTAAAGGGCAAATTATTACATCCGATCACCGTACGCCGAGATAGGTCCGAATATTAATAAAATATTATTTTAAATTAAGCACGTCAAAAGCGCAGGCAAATCGCAGTCAAAAGCGCAGGTAAAACGCAGTCAAAGTGCACCTAAAGCACAGTAAAAAACGCAGTCAAACACGCGGTGACGTGGCATGTTTTTATTGGATGTCCGAACCTATTCTGTGCGTCCAGTGACCTGATGTAATAATTTGCCCATTTAAAGGGCGCCTTCTTGAATATCCTTGGTAAGTGCCACATGAGCTATAAAAGGTTGCAAATATTGGACATCCAATATAACATCGTTGAAAATCAATAATGAATTATCCAAAGGTTCAACCAACTATGTCTTATGTTAATGATATCTTAATAATTCTTTAATAATTTATATACGCTAACAAACTGGGTAATAAATTACTGCTAGAAGCTAACTAAAGAAATTATATTGTTCGACGTTGAAGAAGCGACATTTCACAACATTGCTTATAAAATAAAATTTTTTTGAGTTGTAATAATTATTTTGTTTTAACTCGATAGTAATTAGTAAATATAAAATTAAACGATTTATTTTGATATTTTATAGATCTTATTGTAATTAGAAAAAAATTAAAATAAAAAATGAAGCTAAACGGCCCTTTAAAGAACTAAAATGGAAGTAACAAGCTTCTCTAATTATCTAATTAATCAGCACGTTAACGAAGAAGCGGGCCACGGGCCTAAAGGCCCATAATATAAGCAGGGATAAAAAGAAATAACTATTAGGACTAAGATAACTGCTTATTATTTCTAGAAGTCTCATAGGTTATTTTGTAATTAGTATTCATGTATAACCAGCTCTATATAAAGAGCAGTAGACTTGTAAAGCATATATAGAAATAATATATTTTACTTCTTCTTCTCTCAGCGATATCTTGAGTTTCTTCATGGTATCAGATTTTGGCTTCGATCCTTCGCCATGACTGATTCGGCGACCTCCAGACTTCAAGAAAGAAGCACCAGCCAGACGTCCTCTGAAGCGACGATCTCGGCGAATCTCAAATTCGTAGTATCAAATCTGCGAAACATCGTATCTTCTCCTCTCACTCCCGACAATTTCACTATTTGGAAATCGCAGATTCTCAAGACTCCGCGCGCCAATGGGTTTCTGAAATTTCTTGATCTCAATGCACTACCTCCGGAGCAGTTCTTGTGCTCTCAAGATGGCGACTCGGTGGCTAATCCGGCGTACGCTCAATGGATGCAGACCGATCAGAATCTCTCTACGTCCATCTGCTCAACTATCTCTGCGTCTATACTCCCGTATGTCATCTCTCTGGACTCAACGGCGGAAGTTTGGTCGGCGCTTGAAAAGCGATTCCAAGCTACAAATCGCTCGAAAGTAATCCAGTTAAGGAATGCGCTGCATAATGTATCTTTCGGAGATTAAGGCCATTGTTGACCAAATTTCGGCGGCAGGAGCATCAGTTGATCCAGAAGATATCATTCATCATATCCTCAATGGACTTCCGCATATTTATAAATCTTTCAAGACGTCGATTCGCACCTCCACGTCGTCGCTTACTCTTGATCAAATCTACCCGCTTCTGTTGAGTGAAGAAATCAATCTTGCAGCTGACGCTGCTCGGTTTTCTTCAACGCCAGACCCGACAATGGCTTTGTTTAACGCCAGAGGCAGAGGTCGTAGACAGAAAGGCAAGAACTACTACAACCCCTCTACGACAAGCAAACCCATAAATATGGATACCTCCAGCGTGATGTCCCAACCAAGAAACAGACAGCAGTCTGCGATTTTCTGTCAAATTTGTTATAAGAAGGGGCATTCAGCCCAAACGTGCTGGCATCGACTCAATGTTCAGTATGTTCCGCCATCCAAAACAACGAATTCTGCGTTAATTGCCAGCTCGGAGATGCCCGATACCACGTGGTTCCTGGACTCAGGAGCTTCATCACATATCACGAACTCCATGGATAATATGTCTATGGCGCATTCGTATCAAGGCGCAGACAATATCACGGTTGGAGATGGCACTACGGTACCAATTGCTCATACAGGGTCGGGAATCCTACCGACCCCTCATCGTAAGCTGCAACTAAAGCAACTCCTTCATACACCATCTCTTAAATTTAATCTTTTATCTATCTCGCAATTAACCAAAGATAACAACATTTCTATTAGTTTTGATCCATCTGGTTTTATGATGAAGGACTTGGCGACACATCAGGTTTTGCTCCGCGGACCCTGTAATGGCGGATTATACAAAATTCCTGCGAATCCTACGCTGCACAACCATCAGGTGCTCTCAGCATCCATTTCGGCAAACCATACCTGGCATCATCGGCTAGGCCATCCGCACAAAAGAATTTTAGATTTTATTTCACATTATCATCCTGATTTGAATATGAATAAATGTATCTCTCCATGTTCTTCTTGTATTGTATCAAAATGTCACAAGCTTGTGTTTGACAACACATCAATTCGTCAAACACAATCGCTGGCCCTCATCCATTCGGATGTTTGGGGCCCGGCACCGATTTCTTCCTGTCAAGGCTTTCGTTTTTATGTACTATTTGTCGACGATTTTTCAAGATACTCGTGGATATTTCCTATTCAACATAAATCTGACGTGTTTCAAATCTTTGTTAATTTTCAAACACAAATTAAACGACTTACTTCACAACGCATTAAGATTCTTCGGACCGATGGAGGCTCCGAATATGTTAATAAGGCGTTCAAAAACTATCTCACCAAGCAGGGCATTGTGCATCAACTGTCCTGTCCATATACCCCGGAACAAAACGGGCTTGCTGAAAGGAAGCATCGCCACATAATCGAAACAACTCGTACGCTTCTTCATACTGCGTCTCTTCCCCATGTTTACTGGCCTGATGCGGTCAATACGTTGGTATTTCTTATTAACCGGTTACCTTCTAGCAATCTCCATCACAAAACGCCTCTTGAACTTATGTTCAACAAGCAACCAAATTATGCTGGGTTAAAAGTTTTTAGATGTGAATGTTATCCGTTGTTTCCTTCTCACACCACAACGAAATTACATCCAAAATCTCATAAAAATGTTTTTCTTGGATATTGTGATCAATACAAAGGTTACCGTTGTTTAAACATGGCAACAAATAAAATTACGGTATCCAGAAATGTGAGGTTTATTGAGCATCAATTTCCGTTTTCTGATATAGCGTCATCTACTCACAATACTGATCACAATATCTGCCCTCTATTACTAACTCCTGTTTCAATTAGTGGTGTCTCAAATTTAGGTGGATCAACCTCTGCTCATCACGACCAACATCATATTCAACCTGCTCCACCCGTGGAAGTATCTGCTCCGAACAACTCTGTTCAACAGACTCAGCTAGTAGGCTCTAATGATCCAGCTATATCCCAGAAATCTTTTCAACCAATGACTACAAGAAGCAAGACAGGGTCGTTAAGGCAGAGAACCCGCTTAAATCTAATGCACCATCATAACATCAGAGATGTTCAACAGGATCCCACATCGTTCACGGAGGCTTTGAAGCTGATACATTGGCGTCAAGCCATGGCATCCGAAGTCCTAGCTCTTCAAAAACAGGGAACATAGACTCTAGTGGATCCTCCAACCAATGTTCCCATTCTCGACAGTAAATGGACCTACAGAACGAAGCGTCTTCTAGATGGCTTAGTTGGCAAATATAAAGTCAGATTAGTAGCTCAAGGAAATAATCAAGTGTATGGTCTAGACTACACGAAAACATTTAGTCCGGTAGTCAAAATGCCCACAATTCGAGTGATGCTTGCCATTGCCCTATACAACAATTGGAAGGTTCAACAATTAGATGTTGCAAATGCATTCTTGCATGGCAGCTAACCGAAACAATCTACATCAGGCAACCAAAGGGCTTTGAGGACAGCTTAAGACCGAACCATGTTTGCCGCCTCAACAAAGCCATCTATGGGCTCAAACAGGCGCCCCGCCAATGGTACAACACGTTCACATCCGTTCTTGTTTCCCTTGGCTTCCGTCATAGCCAATCGGATCCGTCTCTACTTCTGTACACCAAAAATCAAGTAAAAATTTTCTTACTTATCTATGTAGATGATATATTGGTTGCAGGAAATGATTCTATACTAATCTCTTCTATTTTAGCTAAACTAAATTCAGAATTTGCTATGAAACACCTTGGGGAAGTACATGATTTTTTGGGAATCCAAATATCCAAATCTAACTCATCTTATTTTCTGTCACAGGCTCAATACGAGTATAAAATTTTACAACAAGCGGAGCTCACCTCGTGCAATCCCCTTTCGAACCCGACCTGTACCAAACTTCCAGCAGAATTCAAAACAGACTCCCTCCCCTCCGATCCAGCGTTTTACCGTAGCATTGCTGGAGCTTTACAATATTTAACGTTAACTCGTCCTGACATTTCGTTTAGTGTTAATCTACTTTCTCAAAATATGCATGATCCATCTCCAAAACACTTCTATCTTCTAAAACGTCTCCTAAGATATATACAAGGTACGTTACATTTTGGTCTTCCCATTACAAAAACTGACTTAGTTCTAAAATCCTTTTCAGATGCCGACTGGGCAGGAGATCCGGTCACAAGAAAGTCTACCACATGTTTTTGCTCCTTCTCAGGAGCAACTCTGGTGTCTTTGACAGTAAAAAAACAGCGTACTGTGTCAAGATCATCCACGGAATCTGAATTCCGTGCGCTTGCTGCTCTAGCTTCGGACATCATATGGCTAAGATGGCTTTTATTAGATTTCGGTATCTCCCAGGCATACTCTATGAATTTATATTGTGACAACATGTCGGCCATTGCCTTGGTCAATAACCCGGTGTTTCACTCCAGAACTAAACACATAGAAATTGATAAAAAATTTCTACGAGATCACATTCAACAAAATAACATTACCTTGCATCCTATCAGTACAATTGATCAGGTAGCAGATATACTAACCAAGCCGTTATCAACTCCAAGGTTTCACCAACTTCGTCTCAAATTGACAATCGTTCAAGATCCATCAATTTGACGGGGCATATTAGGACTAAGATAACTACTTATCATATCTAGAAGTTTCATAGGTTATTTTGTAATTAGTATTCATGTATAACCAGCTCTATATAAAGAGCAGTAGACTTGTAAAGCATACATAGAAATAATATATTTTACTTCTTCTTCTCTCAGCGATATCTTGAGTTTCTTCAATAACTATACTAATCTTAATTAATTATGAGTAATTAAAATAATTAGTACAAAAGCTTCATTTAGGATGGCTTTCTTAGTGCTTATTAAAGTAATATTTTAGTAAAAAAGTTTTAATTTTTTATTAAAAATTTGATTTAAGAAGCAATAAGAAAGTTTACCCAAACGAAATCTTACTTTATGAAATTGAATATTTTCTTTCCAAACTTTTTGAGACATGCTAATTTCTTGGTTAATTTATTTTATATGAATAATTATTTTATTAAAAAAATTAGATTGAAGTACCTACATCTTATAGTGTGACTGGTCATACTTTAAATTATAAATATAGTTAAAAAAACTAAGTGTAAAAAGAAAAGAAAAGAAAAAAAATTATTGGGGTGCAAATGAGCAGAGCCGACTTGAATTTGGCTCCTTAATGAACTTATGAGTTAAGCTTATATAGTTACGAGCTCGAGCTCAAATTCGAGCTAAAATATTAAATGAACTTGAGTTTGAATTTGATAAAACCGGGCTTGTTGGTCCATGAGCAAGCTCTTATATTTTAAAAATGATTTATACATGGTGGCATTAAATTTTGTTGTAATTTCTATCTTAAAACTAAATTTTTTTCACTCCCTACATCAAAACAATTTTGATGGTAACAACTTTAATTTTCTTCTTGAAAAAATTAGCTGCTATGTCACCTCTTTATCCATCGAGCTACAGTCGTGACTTGTTTGTTAAGTTCGAGCTTACGACCCGAGTCATGTTGAGTTTGAGCTCGAGTAAAAGCTCGGGCTCGACTAGCTTGATTAGATTGACTAGTAAGTTCATTAATCAAGCTGGAGCTGATTGGGCTCACTTACACCTCTACTTCCATTGGACTCAAATCAAATTTATTATAAATTTAACAAAGAAGATAAAATGAATTGTCTGTTGAGTTGAGGAATATTTTTAGAACTCTAAGAATACCTCATATCTGATTTGTTCAGAACATAAGGAATTTTTTTCCATATTTCTGCATTAAAACTTTAATACAAAAAATATTGTATGAATTTCTCAATTCATTTGTGCTTAACTGATGCGAATTACAGAAGCCCTTACAAATCCCCTCTGATGAGTAAATGGGATCAGAGCTCTGTAATCATGAAAACCAAGTATATATTATGCAGAAGAACCAGATAGAACAACATTGAATACAAGCTGAGAACTGATCAGTTAGAAACAGATATAGGAGAAGCTGTCCCTTTCTCTTTAGCTGTGGAGGTCTCTGCTTCTTCTACTTCACATCTCGTCGAAGACAAACAGTTTTGCTCCTAATAAGGATAAAATGGTTAAGAATCATAGAGAAGATCTTGCAGAAATAAGAGCTGAAAACAGATGGAATCGAACTTACCATTAAAAGCTTCTCTTTTCTTTTTTCTTCCTCTTGTTTTCTCAGTGAACTAATCGTTTCAAATCTCTGCAAGTTTACCCGAAAAACAAAAACTGATTAATTGGAAACTTAGTCGAACAATCCACAGCATCAGGTGTAAAAGGGCTGAACAATGGAAAGTTCAAATTTTGTTCGAACAGGAACTATCTGAATGGATGAAAAACCAAAAAAAGATATCTGGAAAAAGGGGGGAAAGATTGAAATGGCTCACAAGTAGAGATCTGAGCTCTATTAGACGGAGGAGGCTTTGGAGCTTCATCTCAACCTCTATATGCTGAAGATCTCTCATCTCGGCCTCTCTTGCTTCCTTCTCAAGAACCAGGTCTCTATCTCTCAGCATTGTCTCCGTCTTCTCCCTCTCCAATCTCAGCCTCTCCTTTTGCCGCCGAGCTGCTTCGAGTTCCTCTGACAAAGACAACGCTTCTGCAGGTAGAAGGAAATCACTGGAAGCCATTGCTGGTAATGGTAGTGCGGTGGTGACCTCACTGTTCTCTTTGTCGTCGGGCTCTAATCTGGTTTGCATAAAATGTGGGGTTTCTCTAAATGTAGCTGGCTTTGCTGGAAGCTCTATGGCTAGAGTTACCGGAGTGTTTCTCGGCTGGAGTGGCCGTCGCCGGAGAGTTCTTCGGTTTCCGGCGATTTGGTTATCCATCTGTTCGACTGGATTTAAAGAGGTGTGTAGAGGCTTATTATAGTCGGAGAGAGAGAGAGACAGAGATGAGGAGTTAGGGAGATCGCATTTGAATTTGAAAAGCAACGGCTAAATGAAGCTGTCGGGGGAAGGGAAAGGGCAGAAGAAACCAAAAGCGAGTTCTGAAAGTAGGAAAAGACGAAAATGTCCCCTGTCAGTCGACCTCAAGGAAATCTATGTGAAGGGTAACTTTAACATGTATAAGTGCTCCTTTGATGGACTAATCTTTTATTGCTTTCTTATTTTTAATTATTATATATTTGAAATTTGTTTAACTAAATTATAAAGCTTAAATATAATTTTGATTTCTAATTATGTCTAATTAGTATGAACATAATAGAAATATATGTCCTCACACGATCTGGTTGAGTCTATTGGATGGTCGATCTCATCACTCAATCACTATATGCTAACTCGAAAATGAAAGTTGTTGAGATCTGGAGATAAATTTTCTATCTAATTCTTCCAAACTTTTTGCCTATAGTCATCTACCTAGTCAACTTTGAGCTAAAACTAAATATTAATCAAACCTAAGTAATTATATATATATTTGAGATTCATAATTTAAATATTTAACCTAATTTGTAGACATAATTGAGAAGAGTCATTGATAATCTTATTATTTGTGATAAGACTCAGTCGGTCAGCTCACGCACCCCACTCTCGTCGTCACGAGGTCCCGCGGACTCCGTCTGCACGCGCGGTGCTGCGGACACCGCCCGCACTCGCGTTGTCGCGAGCTCTCTTCTCCGCAATCTGTTAAACCGGGTCGGGTCGGGTCAACCCGAAAACCCGCGTGGGTTGGATCGGGTTGAAATGTCCAACTCGTTTGCAAAAATGGGTCGGGTTCGGGTTGACCGGTTTAGATCCAGGGCAACTCGGGTTCGGGTCGAACCCGACCCGTCGACCCGAATTGACACCCCTCCGATTATGTAGATACATAGTCTTTCAAAGAGAGAGTATAATCAATTTCAGAACTAACTTTTGAGCGTGATAGGCAGAATCTGAATAAAAAAAGGGCATTAGAGTTATATTGAATGTGCATAATAATCTTATAGTAGTTTATATGTTTTTAAGGATTAGATGACCCTTCATAACGATCAATTTCATATAACTTAAACTCCACTAAAATAGAATAATGAAGATTCATATCATTTACGTTGTTATTGTGCTCTTTGTTGTCTATCCTCCTTTGAAAGATAAAAGATTTGAACTTAATTTTGTATCCATCCTATGCATGTGATCCTTCAAAATTAGGCATTGGTGGCCTTGACGAGTTATATTATTTTCTCATTGATTGAGAGATTGGTTGTTATCAATTAGAAAAGAATTTGTAGTATGTTAAACATATTTTTCATTGACAACATGAAATTGTTATGCTATAGAATATTTGCTATGATAAAGTAAGAGATTAATATACTAGCTTTGTATAAAAGATCTAGCACACATAAAGATAAAATAATGTTGTAAGGGATAGCAAAATTTTTATACAGAATATCGGATAAGAAAAAAAAAAATCATGTGCTTAGCCCATATGAAATGATCAATTATGTCATAAAATGCATATCCCTTGTTGATGCAGTGATGAAAACTAGAGAATGATGGCATGGTCACTAGTTGTTGATAGAGTTATAAAGGTTTGGTGAATATGATCAGACAATGAAAGAAGAGTTGCATTGATTGGGCAATTGTGGTTGAATGACAACGGAAGAGAGATAATAGCGGGTAATAGTAATCTGATGATGATGGACATATGTGTTGTGTATTATTCCTAGATTTAGGATTGCTTTTTGTATAGGTTTTTTGTATAGCATGTATGACCATTTGTGTAGCTATTTGTATAGCTTTAGGAGTCTATTAATAGGAGTCTTTAGGTTGTAATAAGTGGCCAAGAAGAACTAAAGTTTGCTGCATTGTTGGCTCTCCTCCCTCTCCTCTCTCCCTCCTCTCTCAAGATCAAGAGGAAGTGCTTCTTCCTCAAGATATCTTACAATATGACAACAATCGAGTGCCAATAGACGGAAAAATTATTAGGTCCGGACACCGGACATAGCTCTACATCCGGATGTCAATAACATGTCGTCACGTGCTCTTACTCTTTTACCTCACAGCCCAACAACTCAGACCTGGTATTGCTATGTATTGGCTGATTTGTGCAGACCGGGGTATTGCTAGGTATTGCTCGACAATAATGAGAAATACCAATCTGTCAAGACCAATACCTAGCAATACCGAGCAATACCCCGTTTTTGCTAGGTTTTGCTAGGTATTAGTCTTGATAGAGCGATATTTCTCGTTATTGCCAAGCAATACCTAGCAATACCGAACAATACCTAGCAATACCGAGCAATACTTAGCAATATCCAAACATAGCAATACCGGGTTTCGGTCTGGGTTGGGTCATCGAGCTGCGGGTAAAGAGTAAGAGCACGTTGCTACATGTTAATAGCATCCGGATGTAGAGCTACATCCGCTGTCTGAATCTAATAATTTTCGCAATAGATGGGCAACAATGATATTTGGAACTCTAAAGTTCTTCAAATATCTATCTCTAAATATAACACGAGGTCCCACTCATATAGAAAATAATTTTTTATTTATAATTTTTTATTGTGGTATTTTTTTATTATTTTAGCTAAATTTTCTAAAACACTCCATCTTATGACACTTGTTAATTTCTTGATTACAAATTTTCAACTAGATTTTGGTCTTGATTCAAGCTCATTAGTAGTCGGATAAAATCAATATTGTTCACATTTGGTTCGTCTCATCCAGGTATTCAATTTGATTGTAAATTTGTTAAAATCAAAAGTTGATAAATCATGAAATCAAAATTTGATAAATCATGAATTGTAATTTTAAAAATTTTCATTATGCATAATCTATTATAGATGTATAAATTTTGCTTAAAATCCCCATTTTCTCAATTTACTAGAAAAAAAACTCCTACATGAATGGGTCCCACAGAAAGAAAGGAAAACTTATTATGTGCGGGGCATTTAGAGATCAATTTGAATACGTCACGTTATTTTTTTCCTCGATATCGAATGATGTGCCAAATGATGTGGCAGATTTTAGTTGGTCTCCGTCCTATAGACACTGAATAATTTCACCCACGCGAAAGACATGTGCGTTAAATAAAAGGGTACCCTTAAGACCGCCACGTGTACAACTACAAGGCGTATGCGAACCTCTCTGTTAGATACGTGTCAATTCCTCGTTGTCCAGCGGGGTGCTTCTTCTCCACCGAAAAAGCACGTGGCAAACCATTTCCTTATATAAGTGAAAAACCCACCTCTGCTGCTTCCAATCAATAACAATGGAGCTTCTCCTACAATGCATCTCTCCCTCCCCTCCTCTCCTCACCCCCATCTCGCACTTATCCCTCCGGCGATCTATTCGTTCCAAGTTCTGGAATAAAGGCAACGCCTTGGCAGCGACGGCGAGGCGGAGCATGGTAGTGATGGCCGATGCGCGGCCGGAGAAGGAAAAATTAGCGCCGAAAGTGGAGAAAAACGATAACTTGGAGCCGGAGGTGGAGAGACTGACGGCGGAGGAGTTGGAAAAGATCGCGGAGGCGGTGATGGAGGGTAAGGATGAGGGGCGTACGCCGTTGGATTACGATCGGAGGGCCAGGATCTTTTGCCAGAGTTCTCGAGTCTTTAGGGATGTTAATAAGGTTTCTAGCTTGAAGCCTTAAGACTTTAATTATTTTGATTAAGCAGTGCGTTTGATGAAGATTAAGGCCGCTAAATCTGTTTTGTTGCATACATATTTTATGTTTAGTTGCTATTAGAGATGTGTTAATTACTCTCATATAAAATATTTTTATTAAATAGTTTTGTAAAATAATGCAGAGCCAAACATTGCTGGTGATCATTCTATTTCAGTTATGTATATAATTTTTAAGAAAAATGATGATTACAACAAAACAAATAGAATAACTCAAAATTCATTTACAACATAAGCATCAAATTTTTATCCCACTCTAGGAGAATTCATGTCATGATTCTCGCAAGTAGCACCCGAGCCCTATACGGGAACAAAAATATTTCGACTACAAAGCATCCAAATTCAAGCAGGGGGTAACCTGCCGCACCCTCTAACGAATATGACAAACTTTGAGGTATGAAACAATAGAACAACTAAATTGATCAACACATTGAGATTCCACACATAACAATTTGTTCATGAAGGAAGAAGTGTTGATATTTTTTATTCTAGTAAGAAAAAAAGCTCTTGATTATTACAAAAAATCTCTCTTATTTGGAGGGGAAAACAAAAATTGAAGAAATAATATCATTTTCTTCTTCGTGGTTGCCACTAAACTTCGTAGTAGTTTAGCGGATTATTTGATCTTTGTATGATTGTATATTTAGGCTTGCTTATAGGGTTGCAAATGAGCAGAGCCGAGCCGAGTATGTGAGTGTTAATTCCTGTTTGTGTTCATTTATTATAAGCTTGTTCAAGTTTGGTTCATGTTTGATTCAAGTTTTATTGTTTATGTTCATGTTTGGTTCAATTAAATTAATGAGTGTTCATGTTTGGTTCATGTTCGATTCATGTTCAGTTTGTTTAGTGCTTATCGAGCTTTAAACAAATAAGTCTTAACGAACTATAAACAAGTTATACTTCTAGATGTTAATTAACTTAACAAACGAGCTTTATCGAGCCTCATAACAAATAATTATATCAAACATGTTCGTGAACATATTTATTGAATTTTTTTAAAATATCAAATAAGCGCGTTCATTAACATATCTTACGAGTATTCTTGAGCTATCAAATGAACAATTTCATGACCATATATAACTAATTTTTTTTAGCCACCAAATGAGCTCGTTCACGAACAAGTGATATATGATTCATTTTATATTTGCATGAATATTTTAAACAAAAAATCAAGCAAACATGGACAAATGTGAAATATCTCTTATAAATGAATAAAACTTTTATCGAGCCTAATGTCAAGCTTATTCACGAGCTTTAAATGATGTTGTTCACGAATATAAATGAGTCAAATATATTAGTGTTCAAGATTCTTTGTTTAAGGATCGAGTATTTAAAATATTGTTCAAGTTTGTTTGTTTAGTTAATTAAACAATCACAAATGATCTTTAATCGAACCGAACGATAAGTAGCTCGTCGAACGCTTGGTTCGCTCGCAGCCCTATTGCTTACCACATAAATATATATTTTTTTAATTATTATATTTTTTATGGTTACTCTATGGTTCATCGTACATACTTTTGGGTTGTCGCATTATCCAACAAAGACTCATACACTAATAGGTCTTAACAAGATGCCAAAAATTATGAGTAAAAAAATTATTAAAAAAAAGACGGATAATGAGAAAATAATCACCACCTCACAACCTCCACCTTAGTGCATATTTTATATATGTGCGTCGACTGCGATCTAATAGACTTCTTGCCCTAACTCCACGAGCAATTCCGCCGAGCCGAGCTGAATCCTACTCACAAACAAAATCCACCATGCATTCCAATCCATGGCTCCATCTCATGCTCCAGAACAGACTCGCTAGTCTTCATAGAACACTCGTGCGCGCTCCAATTTGCGACCTCGCACTACACCTCTTTGATTCCGAGTCAGCGACCAACCTATCGCCCCAAGGTTCCTGATCTTGCTTGTTTTGATCCACTACTCCAACACACTGTGAAGATGGCAAGAACAGAGAGATGCCGTGAGCACAAGGAGAAGGCAGTCGTAAGAGAGAAGAGAAAATAAAATCTTATTCATACCAGTGATACAGATTTCCTTATATAATGGAATTACAGGTAAAGAAGTAAATAAGAGAATTACAGATAAAAGATGTAAATAAAGGAAATAAAGTAATATATGAAATACTGGCTGACATTCCCCCTCAAATTAATCATTTGTGGAGCAAATGGTTAATTTGTAACGGAGATCATTGAAGCGAGCAAAAGAGAATGGTTTCGTCAGGATGTCGGCGATCTGGTCTTTGGACGGAATGTGCTGGATGCTTATGTTGTCGTCGGTTAGGTGTTGACGAATGAATTGGTAGTCAATCTCTATGTGTTTGGTGCGGGCATGAAAGATTGAGTTCTTAGCAATAGCGATTGCCGAGATATTGTCACAGTTAATTGTAGTTGGGGAGCTTTCCGGTAGATCCATTTCGTGCACAACTCTGCGGAGCCAAATTACTTCGGATGGCTGCGGAGAGGGCCTATATTCAGCCTCCGTTGAAGATTTTGCAACTGTCACTTGTTTCTTTACTGACCAAGAGATTAAGTTTGGTCCTAGAAATGTGCAGAACCCGGAGCTTGATTTTCGGTCGGAGGAGTCAGATGCCCAGTCGGCATCGGTATAGGAGCGGAATTGAAGTGCGCCTGTAGTAACTGGTAGACCAAGTTTTAAGGTGCCTTTTATGTACCTTAGAACCCATTTGAGAGCTTGGTAATCATGAATAGTCGGTTGTTGCATATGTTGACATACTCGATTTGTAGCATATGCCAAGTTTGGGCGTGTTATGGTGAGATACTGCAAAGATCCAGCTAGGCGGCGGTAGAGAGAAGCATCTGGAAACTGTTCTTTGTCTTGATGGGTATCTTTTGGTGCAGGATGGAACGAAGTAGGAGCAGGTTTGCAATCAGTAAACCCGGAATCATGTAGAAGTTTGGATGCATAATGCTCTTGTGTGAGGAAGTAACCCGAGTTAGTGCGTTGTACTTGGATGTCGAGGAATAGGTTTATTGGTTCGAGTTCTTTTACAGCAAATTGAGAGTGCATTTCTTGAATAATTGATCGAACGGCTGCGTCATTGTTCCCTGTGATAAGAATGTCGTCGACGTTGATTAGGAGGTAGAGATGAATATTATTTTTGTTATAGATTAGTAAGGAGGGATCAGAACGACTACACTTGAATCCACGTGTTTTTAGGAACCCGGTTAGTTTTTGAAACCATTGACGCGGTGCTTGTTTAAAGGCATATAATGACTTGTGTAATTTGCAGACGGCATTCGGTTGATCTTTGTCTAAGAACTCGGGTGGCTGGCGCATGTAAATGTCTTCCTGTAGATCACCGTGGAGGAAGGCATTTGATATGTAAATTTGTTGCATAGGCCATTGTCGGTTGAGAGCAAGTGCAAGAAGCATGTGTATAGTTGGCATTTTTGCTACCGGTCTGAAGGTTTCATTGAAGTTTATGCTGAACTGTTGATTGTAGCCTAATGAGACCAGGCGGGCTTTGTATTTATCAATTTGACCATCGGGTTTCAGCTTTGTTCTAAAAGTCCATTTGCATCCTAAAATGGGCTGGTCTGGTGGAGCGGGTACTAGTGACCAAGTGTGTTGCCGTTGTAGAGCGTTTATTTCATTGGACATAGCATCTTGCCAATGTGTGTACTGAGCCGCTTGACGATATGTCGTCGGAGTATGATCTGTAGTGCTGAACATAGTAAAGATTTTGTTAGGCTTGGTGATACCTGATTTTGATCTGGTTTGCATCAAATGAGATTGAGCGATGCACTGGTTATTTGGCTAGCAGACCAAGTGGGTTCATGATTAGAAGCTTGTGTATGATCTTGTATGGTAATAGCACAGTGATCTGGCACGGAACTGACCGAATGAGATGGCTCGAATTGTTGGTTAGAAGCAACAGATGTGGGTATTAGTAACAGGGGTGAGGTATTTGTCTGTTCGGGTATCACGGTGGTATTGTTATAGGCTAGAGAGTTATGGTAAGGGAATATAGTCTCATGAAACACCACGTGCCGAGAAATATGTATTTTATTGGTGTGAAGGTTGTAACATTTGTACCCCTTATGGATCGGAGAGTAACCAATAAATATACATTCTTGAGATCTTGGATCTAGTTTGGTTGTAGTGTACGGCTTAAGCTAGGGATAGCAGAGACAACCGAATGTGCGTAAGTACGAGTAATTTGGAGGTTTTCTGTTGAGTAGCTGAAAAGGGGCAGTGGCTTTAGAGGGTAGGCGGTTAACTAAGTAATTTGCGGTGGAAAGAGCGTCCGCCCATAATTTGTTGGGTAGGTTGGATGCATGAAGAAGCGTGCGAGCGAGTTCAAGAAGATGGCGATGTTTGCGCTCGGCCATCCCATTTTGTTCGGGCGTGTGAGGACAACTCAATTTATGCAGAATGCCATTTTCTTGAAGGTATAATTTGAATGCGTTACTAGTGAACTTGCCTCCTCCATCAGAGCGAAAGTGCTTTGGTTTGGCTGAGTTTTGATTGCCAATAAGATTGCAAAATAGCTTAAAACAGGTGAACGTTTCTTGTTTAGAATGCATTAGGTAAATCCATGAAAATCTTGTAAAATCGTCAATAAAGATGACGTAATATCGATGACCATTTAACGAGGGTTTCGGAGCCGGACCCCAGACATCTGCATGTACAAGTTCGAAAGGCATAGAGGTAATAGAATTGCTAGTATTGAAACTAAGCTTGTGGCTCTTGGTCACGTTACAAGATTTACAAAGAAAGTTAGAAGAAACATTGCTAATATCAGAAATGCTATTTGCAAGAATTTGGAGAATCTGCCAATGTGGGTGGCCTAGTCTAGCATGCCACAGGTTATTGGAGGAGACGGTTATTTGAAGAGCCGGATGTTGGCGTGTTGGAGCTGATGTAATGTGGTATAGTCCATTGCTAAGTTGTCCATGAAGCAGTAGACGCTGATCCGGAATGTCCTTAATATCAAAACCATTAGTGTCAAAAGTAATTGAAATGTGATTATCTTTAGTTAATTTAGAAATAGAAAGTAGATTGTGAGTGAGTGAAGGCATGTGAAGTAAGTTACAAAGGTGTAGCTTACGGTTTGAATCCGGCAGAGGGAGAATCCCTTGTCCGGAATTTTGAATTTGTAAGTTGGACCCGTTGGCTATGGAAACTGAGTCCATGCCTGGATAGACGGACTGGTTTAGTAAGTTGGAGCTCTCCGGTGTGAGGTGAGTGGACGTGCCTGAGTCAAGAACCCAGTCTTGAGTCTAATACTGCAATGGTTGGGCTAGCATCGCTCAAAGTTCATTGTTGGTGGTGGGAGCATATTTGAAATAGCAACGATGTCAGCAATTTAGCACAATGTGGCCGGGTTTGCCGCATATTTGGCAAGAAGATCTCGGGTTGTTGCTGGACGCGGTGCTTGAAATTGTTTGAGCTAGAGCTGACTTTATTGGCGTTGAGGAAGAGTTCTTGAAATTACGTTTGAAGTTGCTGTGAGACCTCGTTCCCTTACTGTTCCTCTCTGATTTGAATTTTCCTCTCAGGATCGTCCAGGACGATTTTAAATCGTCTAGGCCGATCGTCACTGTAGAAAATATCGGCCTGAGAATAGTTCTGGGAACCGTCCAGGACGATTTTTCTGGTCTGATCGTCCCGGGACGATTTGGCGATCGGCCGGGCCGATCAGACAAATGATATATGAGATTGAGATCGTTTTGATGAGAGAGAAAATTATTTTTAAAACAAAATATCTGTTTTGAGGAGAGAGAAAGAGAAAGGGAAAAGAGGAAATCCTGGTTTTGGAGGCCGCGGAGCGCTTTTCGTCCGACGCTGCTGTTGGGAAAAGTGAAGATCTCGTGGTAAGGACTCCGAACCCTATTTCTGTTTTCAAAGATATTGAGTTTTGACCGAGTTATGATTTGTTTTGTGTTTTCGTAGTCGACTTTTCGACGTGATTTGGATTTGGCACAACTTTCACCGCACAACTTTTGATATGTTATAGATATGATTATTGCACACGATTTGACTGTATTCTACGAAGATTTTACCGGTCGGAATTGATTCTACGCGATTTTAATCGAATAAAAAATTATCAGGACTTGATTTGATTTGATTTCTATAGGACAATAGTCTTATATTGATGTTATGGATCTTCGCCTGTAATTTGAAAAGATTTGGAATTTGTGTCTTTTTGCAGGATTTTTGTGTAAATTTGACCGACTGCCGTTACGCTGCCCGATTTTCGTATGATTTCCGAATTTTCTGGAATTGATAGATTGAATTGATATGTGCATGACTATTGATATGATTGTTTTAGATTGCTTTAATATTGATTTTTGCCTTGATTATCGATTGATTATTGAATTGCTTACTGAATTGACTATTGATACTGAAAGACAAGTGGGAACATGGTTGAACGTTGGTTGGAGATAGACTTGACCTGTACAGGATGGTGGGCCGACGGGCTTTCCTTTAAA